AGGGGCTTTATATATTTCTATTGAAAATACGACATTTCTTATGAAGTTGGGAAAATATGCATATCTTCTATATATTAAAAGTGGCTATGTAACGGAATTTCTTGTTTTTAACGGAAAAACTAACGGAATTTGTTGTTTTAACGGACTATGTAACGGAATTTCTTGTTTTAAACAGGAAGTCGCACCTTCTTTCAGTGTTTTTATCATAACTTTGTATTCCGATATCCGATTGAGACGATTCAAAATGCGTTGGAAAGCTAACTCATCTAGCTACAACTTTGATTCAGACATCATTCTCCAATTCGATCGGTTTCTATGCCAAAAATAGGTCTCAATATGAGACTAAAATATCGGAGCATAACTTTTCGGTTGGAAATTGATTTGTGATCATCTTTTGACTAAATTTGATTCTATTGACGTCTTCCTTTATCCAATTGACTCCGAGCACTCTCAAATCTTCATCGTGAGGTTCGGCACAACTTTTAAGTATTTACATTTTAGTCCCCGAACTTTGGATCCCTTACAATTTAGCCATTTCTCCAAATTTGTCAACTTTTGCTTATTTTCTTCAATCTCACCAACCTACATCACAACATGAAGATCACACATCTAATTATTTATCAATTACATAAACATTACATCATTAATTATTTAATTAACCAAAAAAATTACATCTTTATTAATAACAAATTAATTATTAAACAAAACTATTAAATATAAATTAGGCAAATGTGCATTGCACGTTGCTTGCATCTAGTAAGTATAATAAAGCTCATTGAGCATACAATACAAGTACGTAAAAACTATCTTCTAATAGGATGCAACAAAAAACATGTTAAAAGGCAAAAAAATTTAAGTTTAGTTAGATAAATAATAATTATAATTATTTTTTATTAAATTTGATTTTAACTCATTTGTAATATTTCATGAAATCAATTGGAATAAAGGATTAAAGTTAAGTATATTAGAAAATGGAATTGTAGGTGAGATGTCCCCTTCATTATTGAAGTAAATTCAAGTTAAACAAATTGCTAATTATTTATTTTAGTTATGAAAAAAAGTAGGTCTATTATATATGGCATAATTATTTTTGTAGAATTCATTGTTAGATACACAATTCATGGCGTCGAGGAGAGTATTTAGAATTGTTTAAATAGTAGATGTGTAAAGTAAACAAGACGTGCATGACTCAATACATGGATTAGTCTAGAAAAATCAATAAATTGTGTCGACTTAAACCTTGTTTCACACAAATTCATACGTGAGAGATCAATTATAAAGTCACAAAGCAAACATGGTCGAATATATGTAACCAAGGTTGCTTAGTAATCATGTCCAATTGCTATTCACATATAGTTGAGATTCTTGAAAACAATTTGTAGACAATACATTTTAAAAAAGAAAAAAATAATAAAAAAATATTATTCTTATTATTAACGCTCCTCATCCCCACCCCAACCCATCAATTAAACTATCTTGCCTTTTCTTGTCCCTATTTCTTATGGTTTTACCTTTGGTCACTTCTCTCAAGTTCTCAACTCGACTATTTTCATCATATTGTTCTATGAAGAGGTTAAAAAAGGGCTTTAGTGAGGAACGGACAATGACATTGCACGTGGAAGGGTTTTGAGGGAAAGTTGGGTTGGCCATCGTTTATATATATATATATTTTTGGACTTTTTAATTTATTTTCAATTAAAATCCATCACTAGAGATCAATGCCAGTACAATCGAGATTTGGAATATTAATGCAACAAAAAATGGATAAGACCTCAAGTGCCATTTTTTCATTCATTTGTTATTTTCTCCTTGTGATTCAAATTTGAATAGGATAATTTTGCCTTGTAAAGAGTACTCTGAAATTATAGGAAAACAATTTTGCAACTATTTTTTGGATTATAGTTTGTAATTGACTATCCAAAGTTTTAACTAGCTTTATAATAAATAAGTCAAGTGAAAAATCTTTTATAAATGGTAGTGTGAAATAGATCCACTAATAAATATGAAGTTTAAAGTCCTTAATAAAAAATCCAGGGCATTATTGACAATCAAATAAATAAATATATATAAGAGCAAAAGAGAAGTTTTTGATAGATTGCGCTGAAAAAAATTCATTTTTATATAGTTTGAACTACGATAACAAGTCAATTTTATTTTCAATAAATTTGATATGAACATGATGCTTGTTTCAGACCCTCGAGGACGACTCACATACAATTTTTGTGAGAGCTAGATAATCGTCTACATATAAAGCAACATATCCGTATAATTGCTTGCAACCTAGGCTCACCATCCATTTCAAGTTTAGGAACCTAGATAATATTATATTGATCAAAACGAACGGAATGAGCGGAATAGGAAGCCTACTGAACACGGTTCAACTAACAAAGACTCTTGGAACAGCTAGAATAAGAAGTTTTCAAGTGAGCATATTATGGGGGAGCGTCAAGCATATCCGAAAAAATCAGACAATTGATTATAAGGCTCTGTTTGATAAGGGACCGTTTCCATGGAAGTGGGAAAAAAGATTTCATTTTCCAACTTTGAAGCAGTTTGATAGACAATACTTTGCCCAAAATTCATTTTCCACTTACCAACGTCACGCGCCAACTTTCTTGCTTTGTAAGGATTTTGTTTTCTTTGGTTTTTGGTGGGNTGACAGTTTCTAGCTTTTACTTGAATTCTTTTTCACACCATTTAGGTGGGAAAATGGTTTCCATTTTTTTTTTTTTTTATAGCAATGGCAACAAATTCCAATCCCAAAGGTAAAAAAATCTATTCATTTAATTGACAATTTGCATGAAAAATAAAGCCAAACGAACACAAATTGATTTTTTTTTTTTTTTTTTTTGCAATCCAAACAAATTTTAATATAGATTATAAAAAAATTTATCACAAAAAGTAACAATTTGCATGAAAAACAATGTCAAAAGGATTGGATGAAAAAATATATCAATCAAACACAATTAATTACAATTCCCAGTAAAATAATTTTTTGACAATTCAATTCCCTAAAATTCATTTTCTTTCCACCAATTATTTACATTTACAATCAAACGGATCCTAAATAATCAAGTCATGTATTCATGATTACGACTTACCAGTGTATAAAAATAAAGTCAAGGTAGAACATAATTACACGAAGGAAAAACTTTCTCAACATATTAGGTGAGCAAAAGTCGAAGACAATAATGCATTTCACATTTTGAGGGGCCCGTGTGCCTCGATTGCATGTAATGAACACATGATACACGTCTTAGAAGGACATAGTCCACAACCTTCAAAGGGCACGACATACACGTTCCCTTAGATTTATTACTTTAAGTACTACTCATGACCCAATAGCGACGTACTGAACATAGTAAATTGATAATATTAGATAATATTGAAAAAGACAAATAAATTAAAATTTTATCCATTTTACTACCTAGCTTCCATCTAAATGTGAATGTTAAAGAAATTGGTATAGATCACATGTAAAAGGTAAAGAGTCGAGACTCAAAGGAGCTAGTTGGCACGGGTGGTTTACGATTTTATTAACCGAACTAGTCTTGGCTTTTTTTTTTCCAAAAAAAATTAATTTTACATATTTTCAAAAATTAAAACGCTCTAAGAGGGACAAGAGTAATGGAATCTTTGAGCAACAAATGACATCAAATTTAAGTACGAATAACATGGAATAAGTTCAATGTCTTAAGAAAAATGCTACTTGTACTTTTTTTTTTTCAATAGATGGGGTTACACGTACCAAATTAACAAGATTTCATCGTTTGGTTTAACTTTATTTTTGTCTAAAATGGCGTAAGTCTTGCCTACTCAACATTCTGTAACCTCACCTGTCAAAATAATCTGTACAAGTAGCATTTCTCATGTCCTAAATGAATAAAGATGCATTCTATACCGAAGTTTTTAAGAGAAAAAAATTGTCACAAAATTAGTTGCATTATATAAAGGGGTCTCAATCATATACCTAATTAGATCTATAGTAATACATTAATTTGAGGTAAACTTGTGCACAACCCCACATATTGAGTGGTCTAACTTTATTTCCATTGTGGTATCACTATTTGTCGGACAACAAATATTAAAAAAATATTAAAATATAAAATAAAGATAAGTATAACAATAATAACACTTTCTCAATTGCAAAAATAAATAAATAAATTATTGCATTTGTAACTCTACTTTCTTATGTTCAACATGCATATATTGATGTTTTTTGGTCAAAATTGGCTTCAAAATATATAAATACTATAATTTGGTTCAAACAAAGGCATCAAAGTGACAACAATTCCTTAATAATACATGTATGCTTATCTTCCTCATGACATCACATGTCTTATTGTGTCTAACATCAAATGACTTTTCGAGCTTCACAATCGCTGGTTTTGGACTATAATTTTGTTTAATTGTTTCGTTATTTCACTTTTGCGCCGGACTTGCAAATTTAATAGTAAATTTGTCTGCTCTGTAAATCTCGTCACTTGGTTCATTATTTAACATCTGTTTGGTAAATTTAAGATAAATGAAATTTAATTGTCAACGTCAAAATGTTCGTGTACACTTCAATTTGAGTGAAAGTTTCCCAATAAAGTTTGCTTCCGTAGTTTCACTTTAGCGTCAGACGGCAAAATATATCAAGTTTAAAAATGGCACTAACGTTATCCAACAAGGAATTGATAAATAATTAAGATAATCCTCTTCTAATTAAGTGGATATCGTTATGGATTTCTATCTACTATATATAAATAAGCCAAAATTTGAACTTTTTTTTATCCTCAACAGGTTTTGACAGTGACAAACTCGAATAAACTATGTTATCATAGACTATGTACATAATGTTTGTAAAATACTAAACTATGTTTTTAAGTCAAATTTGAACTTTTTTTCTCGGGTATATATATTCCTTTATGGGCACATACTTATCAAGAAAACATAGTAAAATTGTCATGATTTTTCCTCTCCCTTGTGGAAAGTAGAATTAATCTTCTGTTCTTTCAATGGCTAAGATTCATCCTCAAACATCAGTGAAGGGGGTTTCTGATCATTCTACATCAGAAAGAGAAACATTTACAATATGGATGAAATCCCTTGTATTCCACGGAAATGGTTGCACTGTTTTTAATTCCAAAGGTGAAGTCGTTTATCGAGTTGATAATTACCAAACAAGACATAGGAGTGAAGTTTTTCTCATGGATTTCTATGGTGAAGTTTTATTCTCCATGAAAAGAAAGGTAATCTTACAGCAACTTTACTTAATTTTTGGTTGTTCTCGTATTTTATAGTTTAAGCCTTTAGATGACGTGGTTTACTATAGAATCAAAGGCTTTCGAGTTCAAATTTTAGGACCACCCAATTTTGAAAAATTTTATGGGTCAAGGCTTCAATGAAAAACTGATGACGACAGCACTTCTATTATTTCTTTTGCAGAGATTACGAATTTTTGAAAGTTGGGAAGGCTATAAATGGATTGATGCTATACTAAATAAGGAGAGACCATGGTTTCAAGTAAGAAGCAATTGCAGCATTTTCAGAAGACACAAGCACAAGACTTGCCATGTTAGTCTGGGATGTGACAAAACTACAGAAAGAAGCAGCTACCAGATAACGGGATTGGAAGGAAAATCAACATTTAAAATTATAGACAATGCAGGCAATCTTGTAGCACAGGTTAGTTTTGTGCGTCTATTTGCGTCATGGCAATTTATTAATTTTAGGTGGGGGGTTCAATGCGAGTCGTTTACGTTTTTCTTAATCAAAACTCTGATACGTGAACAACTTTAATAAATTAAAGAGCATTGGCGAGACTTGAACTCAAAAATATCCTATATCTAAGCAACCCTATAGAAATAGTTTTTAATATTTGTTTGCATTAGGCAAAGAACATAATAATGATATTTTTCTGTTATATTTGATTCATATACAGGTGATAAAGAAGCAGTCCTCATCAGGAGTTCTTTTGGGTGATGATGTGTTAACTTTAGTAGTGGAACCTCAGATGGATCATTCACTAGTTATGGCTCTTGTGATAGTTCATGGATTGATCAATCAAAAACTGTAAATAGTCCAAAAATTATACAGGCACGCAGGCCACACTCAGGCTCAGTGCTTATGTGAAATAGATCAACAGAATTTTCATATATATACTAGTGAGAAGCACGTGCATGGCACATGCCATGAGGTAGTTGACTACGTAATAGCGTATGTGTAAGACAATTAAGCAACGGTTTTTGCAACTATTTTTTGGATTATATTTTGTAATTGACTATCCAAAGTTTTAACTAGCTTTATAATAAATAAGTCAAGTGAAAAATCCTTTATAAATGGTAGTGTGAAATAGATCCACTAATAAATATGAAGTTTAAAGTCCTTAATAAAAAATCAAGGGCATTATTGACAATCAAATAAATATATATAAGAGCAAAAGAGAAGTTTTTGATAGATTGCACTGAAAAAAATTCATTTTTATATAGTTTGAACTACGATAACAAGTCAATTTTATTTTCAATAAATTTGATATGAACACGATGCTTGTTTTAGACCTTCAAGGACGACTCACATACAATTTTTGTGAGAGCTAGATAATCGTCTATATATAAAGCAACATATCCATATAATTGCTTGCCACCTAGGCTCACCATCCATTTCTAGTTTAGGAACCTAGATAATAGTATATTGATCAAAACGAACGGAATGAGCGGAATAGGAAGCCTATTGAACACGGTTCAACTAACAAAGACTCTTGGAACAGCTAGAATAAGAAGTTTTCAAGTGAGCGTATTATGGGGGAGCGTCAAGCACATCCCAAAAAATCAGACAATTGATTATAAGACCCTGTTTGATAAGGGACCTTTTCCATGGAAGTGAGAAAAAAGATTCCATTTTCCAACTTTGAAGCCGTTTGATAGACAATACTTTGCCCAGAATTCATTTTCCACTTACCAACCTCACGCGCCAACTTTCTTGCTTTTTAAGGAATTTGTTTTCTTTGGTTTTTGGTGGNTCTAGCTTTTACTTGAATTCTTTTTCACACCATTTAGGTGGGAAAATGGTTTCCATTTTTTTTTTTTTTTATAGCAATGGCAACAAATTCCAATCCCAAAGGTAAAAAAATCTATTCATTTAATTGACAATTTGCATGAAAAATAAAGTCAAACGAACACAAAAATTTTTTGCTTTTTCTTTTTTGGCAATCTAAACAAATCTTAAGATAGATTATAAAAAAATTTATCGCAAAAAGTAATAATTTGCATGAAAAACAAAGTCAAAAGGATTGGATGAAAAATTATGCCAATCAAACACAATTAATTACAATTCCCAGTAAAATAATTTCCTAAAATTCATTTTTTTCCACCAATTTTTTACATTTACAATCAAATGGACCCTAAAATAATCAAGTCATGTATTCATGATTACGACTTACTAGTGTATAAAAATAAAGTCAAGCTAGAACATAATTACACGAAGGAAAAACTTTCTCAACATATTAGGTGAGCAAAAGTCGAAGACAATAATGCACTTCACATTTTGAGGGGCCCGTGTGCCTCGATTGCATGTAATGAACACATGATACACGTCTTAGAAGGACATAGTCCACAAGCTTCAAAGGGCACGACATACACGTTCCCTTAGATTTATTACTTTAAGTACTACTCATGACCCAATAGCGACGTACTGAACACAGTAAATTGATAATATTAGATAATATTGAAAAAGACAAATAATTTAAAATTTTATCCATTTTACTACCTAGCTTCCATCTAAATGTGAATGTTTTAGAAATTGGTATAGATCACATGTAAAAGGTAAAGAGTCGAGACTCAAAGGAGCTAGTTGGCACGGGTGGTTTACGATTTTATTAACCGAACTAGTCTTGACTTTTTTTTTTCAAAAAAAAAATAAATTAATTTTACATATTTTCAAAAATTAAAACGCTCTAAGAGGGACAAGAGTAATGGAATCTTTGAGCAACAAATGACTTCAAATTTAGGTACGAATAACATGGAATAGGTTCAATGCCTTAAGAAAAATGCTACTTGTACATTTTTTTTTCAATAGATGAGGTTACACGTACCAAATTAACAAGATTTCATCGTTTGGTTTAACTTTATTTTTTTTGTCTAATGGCGTAAGTCTTGCCTACTCAACATTCTGTAACCTCACCTGTCAAAATAATCTGTACAAGTAGCATTTCTCATGTCCTAAATGAATAAAGATGCATTCTATACCGAAGTTTTTAAGAGAAAAAAATTGTCACAAAATTAGTTGCATTATATAAAGGGGTCTCAATCATATACCTAATTAGATCTATAGTAATACATTAATTTGAGGTAAACTTGTGCACAACCCCACATATTGAGTGGTCTAACTTTATTTCCATTGTGGTATCACTATTTGTCGGACAACAAATATTAAAAAAATATTAAAATATAAAATAAAGATAAGTATAACAATAATAACACTTTCTCAATTGCAAAAATAAATAAATAAATTATTGCATTTGTAACTCTACT